AGAATCAATTGGAATCCAAGATTAGGAAGGAAACAATTTGAAACCGTGAAGAAAGGAAAGAAAATTGTCGGACACGTGACACGACTTTTTCTTTTATGTGATTTTTTTTCTTAATTATATATTTTTTTCTAGTTTTAGCGTTTGACTCGTGTACTATAAATACGTTGCTCCTCTTTCAGTTTAGTTTAAGTCAATTGCTGTAATTCTCTCCTTTCATAGTGATTGAATAAAATAACATCGTTCCTCTGCCAGTTCCCTTTTATTTTGCATCTTTTACTTTAATCTTGTTTTTGGTTATTTTGTGATATTTATTTATACTTCATATTGGGTTCATCAAATCTCAATTCTTGCGTTGTCTTCATTGGTCCCAACAGCAAATATGCCCCAAATTTGGATAGCAATTCACAGTTGAGTTTATGCTCAGCAATGCCTAGAAAGTTCAATTATCTTGCACTGCTTTCTGTTTATTTCAAATGTCAAAGTGTGTTGAAGCAGATTTCTTAAAGATATCTATACATAGTGTAGCTTCACATCCCCCACGAACTGGACAAGATTAAAGAAACTTAGCACGCGAACAATTGCGAGTTCTTTGGCCTAATCCTCTCCCGTTCTTGAACCAAACATATCGCAAGTGAATTATTATTGGAGGGGACTTAAATACTGGTCTTGAGCTTGGTAGTAATTTCAGCAACATACTTACCCTGATGGAAGGCTTGCTGAAGTTCAAGGTTCGTGGGGTGACGAGATCCATCTGCTGCGTAAGTGCCTGAACCGTAAGAGGATCCACCCTTCACCTCATTCATCTCAAACATGCCACTTCCAAAGGTATATCCCAATGGAACAAAAACCATGCCATGATGTGCTAACTGTGTTATTGCTGTCAATCTGCACCAAGCAATCAAGCAGATAATCAAACTCTGATATTTACTTTGTACTGTATCCTTTTTTTTTTTTTGTCAACTAAATTTCTTTTACTGAAAATAACTAGAAACTTGTACATTTAATGCATGCTCAAACCTTCAATATGGGATGTGCCAGAATTATTGTCAATATGCGGTATATTATTTGTCGGTTATGATTTCAAAGCTGTCATATTTTTGACAAGCAATGAAATCCTGTATTTTAACCTAGTGTTGCATACAGTTCGTCTTTGATCACCAATCAGAATGGAACATATGGCACAAAAGGAGCAGCTCAAATGAAGCCAAGCATCAATTAGCAAGGTGAAGCAGCTTCCTTTCAGGAAGTTGTAGTTAAAAGGAAGTTGGCTAAAGAGGTTAGTTAGTTGGGAACTTGGGAGATGGCCTATAACTCGCTTTTACTGATTTTACTCTCACGAGGAAAATCGCTTCTAGAATAGGGGAAAACTCCTCCTTATCCTGCACAAATGGAGCCTTCTAATTCATTTCCTGGGGGAGTTGTAAGGTTCACAAATCATACACTTGCACTCAGTCTGTAGAATCTTATGGTTCTAGTGGAAGTAATCAGTATTCGTGTGTAAGTGGATGTAGGCACGATCTGAACTATTTTGATACTCTGTTCTTGCATTTTTATAATCTGTGTCCAGCATTAGTTCAACATGTCAGATTACTCCTCAAAGGCTAGCACCTATTTTGCGTGGAAACTTCTGAAAAGCTGGAGTTTCCAATTCAGCAGGCAAGACATCACCAGCTCCATAAGCCACTCCACTCGTCTCCAAGAAACCTGCTGCCCCATTACCACTGGAATGCCACCATCCAACTATACATCGTGTTTGCCCAATTCCATCAGCGTAAATTCCGCAACACATTACCACTCAAATTGGTATTGTCTATGCATCATTGGGTGCCTAATTCTGCCTTTAGAAACGCTTCTGTCACCACCCAACTATACATCATCTGGTTCCCAATTCCATCTCCAAAGTGTCGAACTATTCTCTTTCTCCTTTTATGTTTATGTTCTTTTTTGGAATTTCAATGATTCTCTATGTTGTAATGTGAATTTTTTTTTTTTTTTTTCTCTATTTCAGCTGTCATTGTAAAAGAAGTTTACAATTTTTACCCATATTAAGTTGATTACTGTAATATAACCATCAATTGACATAGATCACTTAGCAAAATCTGCAAATGAAGTTCAAAATTATGTTCAGCAAAACAGAAAAACTCACGCAGTAAGTTCCTGACCACCCCCATGGAAGCCGGTGCTCCAAAAGATTCCGGCAGGCTTTCCAGCAAGTGCCTGACTAGCCCATATCTCATGTGTGGCGTCAAAGAAGGCCTTGAACTGTGCCGCCATTACCCCAAAACGAGATGGAAAACCAAAGATAAAGCCATCAGCCTCGACTAACTGTTCAGGCCTTATCTCAGGCACATCATCGGGTTTTTCAGGAGCCTTCATCTTCTCTAAAACCCGCTCAGGCAGTGTCTCGGCCACCTTCCACAGCTTAGCTTCTACACCTGGAACAGAATTAGCGCCTCTTTGTATCTCTCTTGCCATGATCTCCACATGTCCATACAAGGAGTAATACCTGCAATATGAATCAAACTTGGAATTGAAAAATTATAATCCAGTTGTTGAGAAAATATGGATATGAACACATAGTTCGCCCGACTTACACTATGTAGACCTTAGTGATAGTCATAAGAACACCAGATCAATATCTAGCAGCCAAAGAATTAATGGAGGAACTAATTTGAGGTAAAACAAACAAGTGATGATGAAAAACATAGACATATGCTACAGCTTAATATAAAATTCAGAGTTGGTATATGTTTAATTAAAATTTCGTGCACGGAGATCACAAGGTATGGCTGGGTATTTAATTTAGTGCCTTAAAATAATTCAGGTCCTGATTAGGTGTTCAACAATTATAATATTAGTAGTTGAATGGTCTGTCGGCAAAACTTTTAAAAAGTAAAAATTACTTTTAAATTTATTTGAATAATTTTCTAAAAAAAAGTTGAACTTCTACGAAAATAAAAGCTCTGTCAAACAGTTCGAAGTAAGATAAAATATTGATAACCCAGTAATCCAGTTTCTTTTATATTCGCACAATATAATTGAACTTTTATTTTTCTAAAATTTATTTAATAAGATAATGTCTATCCCTTTAACTATTAATTTAATACCTTATATAATTTGCCAATTATGGGAAATGACGCTTTTATGATAGAAAAAAATGTTTGCGTGCAAACAAATCGTTGAGTTGACAGATGTATTGCAAAGATTCCGCCACCCTGGAAACCTTATCATCTTATCTAGTTTTGTTTTATCTCTTTTTTAAATTTCTTTCTAACTTGCTAATGTCCTTTCGACATTACGCTCTAAAATTTTTGTCTTTAGTCATTCAATTTAAGTATAGGGTGAACGCGATTCGTTTTGGACGGTTTGTACTATATTTTTAACTCAATTCATATTATGCAATTTAAAATTTTTTCAAATCACACCAAACCATTTTATTTTTCGAACCAAACCAAACCAAACTATAATTTACGGTTTGGTTCGATTTTAATCTGCAATTTACCCATCGACATTATAATAATATATTTAACAGAAGTTAGATATAAGTTAAACGAGAACTAATAATATTAAATGTTAAATTACATTCATATTTACTATGAAATCAATGAATAAATTATTTTCAAAGTTGGTTGCTAAAAGGTATTAATAAGACAAATATATCTTTCTTCATTTTTATTTACCTTTTCTTGTTTGACATTCATATTATCATATAATGGTTGGTAAATGTAGAATTACATTATATTATTATAGTTTG